TGCGCGCGCCCTGGCGCCGGCCCTGCCCGAGGCGCTGGCGATGTACGGCGCCGGGCTCCTCTTCCGCAGGGCCGCGGGCCCGGCGCTGCTCCGCCTGCGGAAGCGGCCGTCCGGCCTGGCTCGGGCCGGACGAGAGGGGGGGGGATTGGGAAAGGAGGGGGTGGACAGAGCCCCCAACAGTGACACGTCGATTAGTGAATTGTCCGTGTTCGGTTCTCGAGAGGGCGCCGTGGCCGTTATGTTCCAGGCCTGCGCCCGCCAGGTTTGGGCCCGAGGTCGCTTTCACGAAACCACGTTTTACCGAAGGGAGGTCTGGGGGTTGCGAAATTTGCCGCATGCAGCTGGTTTCAGCCCCGCCGAGGGGTCTATTCCTCGATACGTGGCCGCCTCCCGGCGCCGGGAGGCGCCGGGAAGATCAGCTGCGGGAGCTGATTCTCCCCCCCCCCCCTTTGCCATCCCCCCCTTTCGCCCGACCCGACTGGCAGACTCGGCGGAGGCCAAGGCGGCGGACCTCGCGAACGAGCGGCGGTGCTCGAGGGTGAGGTCGGGCGTGTCCCCCTACAGTGGGGGCGCGCATCAGGAAGCCATGTGCTTTTCGTCGGGGGGGCATCCTGGGTTTCTTCGCTCCTCGCGCTGCGTGGTGACTTCCCGCAGCCGTTGAAGGAGCTGCTGCGTTCAGGGTGCTCCAGGTTTCCCCTCAGGTGCACCTCGCGCACGGGTTCTCAGGGTTGAGTTTCTTGCAAGGGTTTCTTGCGGCCACGCCCGCACTGTGCAGGCAGATTGCGAAGACCTGACGGCCGGTGCCGCCGACCCTGAAAAGGACCACGACGTCGGCGACGAAATGGACGGAGACGGAAGCCGTGGAAGATGAGGAGGAGGAGGCGAGGAGGAGGGGGAGGAGGAGGAGGAGGCAGGAGGAGGAGGAGGAGGGAGGAGGAGAAAGGAGGGGGAAGAGAGGAGGAGGGAGGAGGAGCGTGGAGGAGGAGGAGGAGGAGGAGGGAGGGAGGAGAGGAGGAGGAGGAGGAGGAGGAGGAGGAGGAGAGGAAGGAGGAGGAGGGAGGAGGAGGAAGGAGTGTGAGGAGAAGGAGGACAGGAGCAGGAGGGTGGCCGAAGAGAGGGCTCCTGCGGCGCCAGAAAGGGGGGGCCCTCGATCCTCGAGCCTCGGGTTCGGAGTCGCAGAGTGAGCAGGAGGAGAGGAGGAGGAGGAAGGAGGAGGATGAGGAGGGGGAGGGGAGAAGGAGGAGGAAGAGGAGGAGGAGGAGGAGGAGGAGGGGAGTAGGAGGAGGAGGAGGAGGGGGAGTTGGAGCTGTTCTACATGTGCAGTTGTTCGTCATCTTCGGCCTCCAGGGGCCATCTTGGGAACCGGGAAGCCGCGCGGGGGTCCGGAGCCGCGCGGCGACCGCGCCGGACGCGCGGGGAGTGAAAGCGTATTTGGGTGGCAAGCCCCCCCGGCACCCCCCCCGGGACCCCCCCGCGCCCCCCCTCCCGCCGGGGAAGGGACAAAGGGAAGGGACTTCCCTTTGTTTGACATGGTTACGACATGGTCGATTTCCCTCAAGCCCTCTGGAGCACTGCAACGACGACGACGACGACGACGACGACGACGAACGGCACAGCCCCTCACACACGCCGAAAGGGTCGGCGGATTTCGGAGGAACAAGTGAAAATACTCCACAAACGCAAATATTGAAAGATGATCTTGAAGAGATCGTCCCAAAACTATGTTGGACTAGTTTTGAATATTCCTCCTCTAGAAGGACATGCCCGATTTAATTCAAGAGAGGAAAAGCCACCCGGACCCGACAATTGGGGTTTACTCAACGGCCTTGGGCGTTTGCTAAGCAGCCTTACCCTGCTCGTGTTTCCTTCCGTGGGTGCGTTTGCAGAACGGCTCCGCGCGTCGGGGCGATCACTGCGGGGGGGATGCTCTGCCCTCGAGGTACCTGGCGCGCGCCTGGAAGATGGTGGAGCTGGCGCTGCTCTCCGCCCTGGGCCTCTGCGTCCTGGGCACCGAGCCCTTCTTCCCCGCCTCCCTGGGGGGCCAGGGGGACGTGGCGGCCCTGCTGCCGGCCGGGCGCCGGCGCGTGCCGTGGGCCCTGGCCGCGTACCACGCGGCGCGCTTCGCGTACCTGCTGGAGTGGTGGGTCTTCGAGGATGCCGCTGAGATCGGGGGCAACGGCAGGGTGAAGTCGGGCGTGTCCCTCTACAGGGGGAATGTACTCAAAGATGGTAAGAAGGATCCTGGCGAGGTTCCCAACCATATGCAGTTGCGGGTACCGTAATTGTGAACATCTGCTTCGGTGAAGCTCCCTATGGGGCCACGACGCGCTGCACTGGGCGGGGGGGAACGCTGTACTTACTGTGTGGGTGGTGTGCCGAATTGGGGTTCTGGGACGCATGCGGATGGTCCCACTGAGGGCTCCGGTGGAGCTCCCTATTGGGCCACGAAGCGCTCTACTGAGTGAGTGAAAATGCCAAATTGGGTTACAGGGACACATGCGGACGGTCCCACTGGGGGCTTAGGTGAAGCCCCCTATGGGGCCACGAAACGCTGCACTGCGCGGGTGAAAATTCCAAATTTCATTTCCCGGACGCATGCGGACAGTGGCACTGGGGCCTTGGGTGGAGCCCACTATGGGGCCACGAAACAATGCACTGGGTGGGTGAAAATGCCAAATAGGGCTTCCTGGACGCATGCGGACGGGGGCACTGGGGCCTTCGGTGGAGATCCCTATGGGGCCACGAAGCGCTGTACTGGGTGGGTGAAACGCAGGGAGGAGGGGGAGGAGGGCCACGAAACGCTGTACTAGGTGCGCGGGACGCATGCGGACGGTAGCATTGGGACCTTCGGTGGGGCTCCCTATGGGGCCACGAAACGCTGTACTGGGTGTGCGGGACGCAGGGAGGAGGGGGAGGAGGGCCACGAAAAGCTGTACTGGGTGTGCGGGACGCATGCGGACGGTAGCACAGGGACCTTCGGTGGGGCTCCCTATGAGGCCACGAAGCGCTGTACTGGGTGTGTGGGACGCATGCGGACGGTAGCACTGGGACCTTCGGTGGGGCTCCCTATGAGGCCACGAAACGCTGTACTGGGTGTGCGGGACGCATGCGGACGGTAGCACTGGGACCTTCGGTGGAGCTCCCTATGGGGCCACGAAGCGCTGTACTGGGTGTGCGGGACGCACAGGAACCTTCGGTGGGGCTCTCTATCGGGCCACGAAACGCTGTCGTGGGTGTGCGGGACGCATGCGGACGGTAGGGAAGAGGGGGGGGGCACGAGAGGAGGAGAACGCGGGGACCGTGTCTTCAAAACGAGGACCGAACACCACAGGATGGTTGGGAAAAATAGGCTGGGGACGATTTCTGGATTATTGTCTAGCATTTGGAGGGTTTCTTTTGAGTATGTTTTATTTCTCGCCCAAGATCCCCCTGTAGGGGGGGGACACGCCCGACTTGACGATAGGGGGGGAATACCATGGGTTGCTTGATGAGCGTGGGGGGGGGACCCTCCCGACGGGGGTCCACCTCGCCTCGTCGTCGCGCCGCGACGGGGGTCAGAACGCCTTCGGCAGCGCGGTGGCTGCCCGCGACGGGGGTCGATGCGGGGCTGTCGGCGGGGGTGGCGCCCCCCCGACGCTTATTAAGAAACTCGGAGTAGGCATAAGGGGGGATGCAGCGACATCCAATCTTCCATTCATCGCCGACAGGGGCTCGATAGCCCCACCCCGCCCAAGAAGGTGCGAATTCGTTGTCGGGAGTCCATCGCCGATCTATCAGCGATGTATCGCCGATTCCAGGTCGATGCATCCCCCCTATGCCAGTCCCCCTGTATCGTGGAAGAAGAGAAACGCCATAAACATCAGCTTGGGGCGCTGCGCGCGGATTTCTTGGACCCCCCTGGCGCACAGAGAGCGCCCCAGTGGCGGCGCCGGAGGCGCTGCCGGGGAGGCCCAGCGCGGATCCAAGAAACCCGTGCGGAGCGCCAACAGTTTATGCTTATGCCTTCTGTTTCTTCTTATCTCGGGGGTGGACAGAACCCCCAACAGTGACACGTCGATTAGTGAATTGTCCGTTTTCGGTTCTCGAGAGGGCGCCGTGGCCGTTATTTTCCAGGCTTGCGCCCGCCAGGTTTGGGCCTCAGGTCGTTTTCACTAAGCCACGTTTTACTAAAGGGGGGTCTGTCCATCCCCGATTATCCATCGCTGCCCCTCATGAGAGGGCACCCGTGCTCGGGTCGGACGAGCAGGGAAGGACAGGGACGGGGACGGGGCACGGCGTCTGCAGCGGGTCTCGGCCCCGCCGCCCAGCGCTCTCCTCGGCACGCGTGCGCCTCCGGCGCCTGGTGGCGCCGAGCAGAGCAAGCCAGCTCCTTACGCGAGCTGGTTCCTCCCCGTTCAATCTCCACCAATCCAGCACTTCTCCTCCTCCTCCTCCTCCTCCTCCTCCTCCTCCTCCTCCTCCTCTTCATAGGACCTTGCGTCCTTACCGACCGTCCTCATCATAGGTTTCCACTGCACTGCCAATGGATGTCATTCTCGTAGATCCGACGAACCTATCAATCCTGGGGTAACTTCATTATGCAGTCGATCTCCTGCTCGGCCTCTGCGCAGAGGACGGCCTGCAGCGGCCGTATCTCACGATGCACCACATCGCGACCTCCATCGTCCTGTGCTGCGCCGTCTTCGCCGGTGCGCGGGGGGGGGGATCGCCCGGAGGTCTCTCTGCTAGGCACGATCGACATAGGTACGGAAAGAATGGGGTTGTGGAGGACGAGAAGGATGAGGAGGAGGAGGAGGAGGAGGAGGAGGAGGAGGAGGAGGAGGAGGAGGAGGAGAGGAGAAGGAGGAGGAGGAGGAGGAGCGGGAGGAGGAGGAGGAGGAGGAGGGGAGGAGGAGGAGGGAGGAGGAGGAGGAGGACGAGAAGGAGGCGGAGGAGAGGGAGGAGGATGAGGAGGAGGAGGAGGAGGAGGAGGAGGAGGAAGAGGAGGGGGAGGAGGAGGAGGAGGAGGAGGAGGAGGAGGGAGGGGAGGAGGAGGAGGAGGAGGAGGAGGGGGAAGGCAAGACGGACGGGAGGAGGCTGGGCAGGACGGGAAAACGCAGCGTTTAGGGCGGGTGGTAATGGGGGTGACTTAGATGTGGGTCGGGGGTGGGCAGAACCCCCACCCTGACGCGTCGATTGGTGAATTGTCCGTTTCCGGTCCTCGAGAGGGCGCCGCTGCCGTCTTTTTCCAGGCTTGTGCCCGCCAGGTTCCCGAGGTCGTTCTCACTGAACCACAGTTTACTAAAAAGAGGGTTCTGTCCATCCCCGAGTCCATTTTGAACGGGACTCGCTGTCGGTGTCGCCGCGGACGTTGTCCGTTTTGAGGCAGGAGGCCGCTGGCCCAACGGCGGCCGCTGTTGATTTTGGACCACATTTTTTGGGGGGGGGATTGCACAGTGGAGTCTCATGCCAAGAAACACCCTTCTTGCCTCCAGGGTGCCCCCGGTTTCTTGGGCTTCGATGGTTTTGGCATGGAAATCGTGACGTTCCCGCGCCCAGGAGCAGTGGGCGTCCTGGGGTCTCAGGGTTGGGTTTCTTGTGGACGGACTTCACTGTGCCCATCGTTTCCGTACCCCTTGCGGGCGTCCAGGGGTGCCGCGTTTTCTGCAGGGCGGCGGCCACCGGGTGCAGGGGTGGGACACAGGGCGAGGACTGGGCGGGTTGAGGAGACCGAGGGCGAGGGGTGGGAGGAGGGGGAGGAGCGGGAGGAGGAGGAGGAGAGGAGGAGGAGGAGGAGGAGGAGGAGGAGGAGGAGGAGGAGGAGGAGGAGGGAGAGGAGGAGAGGAGGAGGAAGGGGGGAGCAGGAGGAGGAAGGAGGAGGAGGAGGAAGGAGGAGGAGGAGGAAGAAAGAGGAGGCGGAGAGGAGGAGAGGAGGAGGAGGACGAGGAGGAGGAGGGAGGCAGGAGGAGGAGGAGGAGGAGGAGGAGGAGGAGGCAGGAGGAGGCAGGAGGAGGTGGAGGAGCGGGAGGACGAGGAGAAGAAGGTAGGGGGGGAGGGAGGAAGGAGAGGGAGGCTGGAAGAGGCAGGCAATGACACGCCGGTCGTTGAAAGTAGGTTCTTTCTGGGATTCTCAGATCCCAATCTAGTTCAAGCGCCTTCCTACGTCAATACTCGATATGGTTGTGTTGTGTCTTGTTACTCTCTAGGAGGGCCTCAGCCCAATCTACTTTATCCGCCTTCCTACTTCGTGCTTTCACCTACTTCTTCCGACCTATGTTTATCCAGAGCAGGCGAAAGAGCGTGGATTCACAGGCTTGCGGTCGTGGTGAATTCTTTCCCTGTCTTGGACCCGCCCGGCCAGTCGTATGCCAGTCGTGAGTCTTCGAAGGGGCCGTTGTGTGCCGTTTTTTGGCTCTTCGTGGGGACGTCTCGGGAGCTTTGGGTTTCCTGCAATCAGGAAGAAAACATATCCTGAAGGAGAAAGGTCCTGACGGTTTAAGTGGCCTTGGAGATCTTTGCCTGAAGTGCCTCACATAATCAGGTCGTTGACGTCCTTGTAGTGTTCAGACTCCTGGGGCCCTTCCCAGGCCCCGGGACCGTCAGAAAATGGCTCAGGATGGAAAGTTTGTCTTGGTGGAAGTATCGGGATTTGGGACTCACCTCAACCAGGGCCACTCTAATTGTACTGGAACGTCATGCCGACTTCTAATTGGATGGATGGATCTGGCCCCGTGTTGTGGTATCAGGTGTGATTCTAGAATGATGTTGGTGGTACCCCTGGCGGGAAGACGTGAGCACCGCTTGCGCAAACAGGGGATTCCGATTCCAGAATCTGAGAGTCGGCTCCAAGGAGTCGAGGGTGCACAAGCAGCCAGCGCCGTCATGCAACCACCAGGTGTAGAATGAGCCTCTCGTCACCACCACGACCAACGTCTGAGCCGCCCTCCTCTTCATTTTCTGTGACTTCCCGTCCCCGGCGCTTCTTCCCATCACTCTCTTCATGCCGCCATTCGTCCTGACCATGTTCCATCGGACACGCTTCAGGATGGGAAAAAAACACAGGCACAAGTGATCTTCGATTCCTCAGAAAAGATAGGAAACCATGGGAAATGTGGGGGAAGACAGAAATCCCAGAGAATATGGTGGAAATATGGGGAATCCTGTTATTGTAGTGGCCTCCGGCCAGTGCCGCCGATCCGGGGCGCTCCGCAAGATGATGATCAGGATGATGCTGCAGGGGAGAGGGCAGGGAGGGGGTCTTCTCTGCAGGGGGAGTCCGCTCGGCAGAGGGAGGGACTGCAGGGGAGATGGGTGGTCCGCTCTGAAGGAGGGGGGGGCTGCAGGAGAGGAAGTCTGCTCTGCAGGGGGGGGGGCAGGGGAGAGAGGGGGGGCTCCGCCTCTGCAGGGGGGGGCTGCACGGAGCGGGGCCGCTCTGCAGCGGGGGGTGGGTGGGCTGAGGAGGGGGAGGCGTTCCGCTCTGCAAGCGGGGTGGGTCCGCTCTGGGAGGAGGGGGGTTGCAGGAAGGGCGGGTCTGCTCGGAGCTCTGCAGAGGGGGGTGTCACCGCTTTAGGAGGGGGGGAGATCCGCTTCTGTGGGGGCGGGGGGGGATGCAGGGAGGAGGTTCCGCTCTGCAAGGGGGCCCGGGGGGGGGTGCTCTGCAGGGAATGGGAGTGCAGGGGGCGGGGGGTACGCTCTGCAGGGGGCGGGGCGGGCTACAGGGGCGGGGTCCCGCTCGCAGGGGGGTGGTGGGGGGGGGGGGCGGGGGGAAGCGTCCGCTCTGCAGGGGGGCGGGGTACACGGAGCTGGGTCCGCTCTTGCAGCGAGCCGGCTGGGGCGGGGGAGGCCGGGGGGGGCTGGGCTGCAGGGAGGGGGGGGGCGGTCCGGTCTGCAGGGGAGGGGGGTCCGCTCTGGGAGGAGGGGGAGCTGCAGGAGGGCGGGTCTGCTCTGCAGAGGGGGGGGGAGCAGGGGAGGAGAGGGGGATCCGCTCTGCAGGGGGGGGGGGGGGGCTGCAGGGAGGGAGGTCCGCTCTCTGAAGGGGGCGGGGTGCTTCTGCAAGGGTGGTGGTGCAGGGGGAGGGGGGGTTCGCTCTGCAGTGGGGCGGGGGGGCTACAGGGGCGAGGTCCGCTCTGCAGGGGGGGGTGGGGGGGGGGGCTGCAGGAAGCGGGAGGGGGCGTTCTGCAGGGGATGGGGGGTTCCGCTCTGGGAGGGGGGGGGGGGCGAAGCACTGAATTAGGTCGGAAATGAGGTCCCCCCCCCCGAAGCACTGAATTAGGTCGGAAATGAGGTCCCCCCCCCGCAGAGCGAAGCTTGAGCGAGCTCAAGCCCACGCTCTCAGAAACTCACACGCCGGATCGGCGGAGAATATATGGGGAATCCTGTTATTTGTGTCGTCTGTGTGTGTGTGTGTGTGTTCGGCGCAGTGATAGCGAGCCTGCCCGCGCCTGTCGTTGGGCGTGTGTCGATTCATGGCGCCGCCTGTGCTTGTCGCGCCGCTGCCCTTGCAAGCCGGCAGTCAGAGCGAGTTCACGCGTCTACGCGAAGGCGAGGGAACGAGTGGCTCAGCTGATCGAGCTGCTTTGCTTGTCTGCCTCACGGAACACCGCAGGCTGGACGCAGTTCGGCGGGGTGATCATTCTGCTCCACGACGCCAGCGGCGTCCCAATTCAGCTGCTCGTGTGGATGCAGCAGGCGCCTAGCACGCATTTACAGTTCCTCTACATACTTGAGATGTGAAGGGGGTCACGTGTGATCAGGACCAGCACTGGGGAAGTGTGACGGATGATGCTCCTCGATGTTCTTTGAACCTCCATTGCGAACCGAAGGGGTCCTTGGGGTCCGAGAGGGTCTTGATGATGTGACCGTCGTCGCCGTGTCCTCGCTATCGCCGCTCGGGATGGGCTAAAGTGAGCGTACATGTCCATAGCACGCATCATGAGCTGCACGTGTACACGACAGCACTCATAAGCACTTCGAATCACAATGTTGGAGACTAGGGCAGGAGCGGGGGCGGCGCGAGGAAAAGGCGGAGAGGCGCACGTCCCGCCGGGCGTCGTCGCCGCAAGCTTTCGGAGCAGGTGCCTGGGAGGCAGGAGAGTCCTGAGCTCGCAGCGGCCACTGGGCCTTTTTGCCCTGGCAGAAGTGCCAGCAGGACCGAGTCGGAGGGCGGATTGACAGGGAGGTCGCGCAGGGGGGGGGAGGCCTCCTCCGACTCCAGACCTGCCCCCCCCCCCCCCCCAGGCATCCGCCCCCAGGGGTTGTCGGGCCGAACGAGAGGGGGGGATTGGGAAAGAGGGGGTTACGAAATTTGCTGCGTGCAGCTGGTTTCGGCCCCGCCGAGGGGCCCATTCCTCGATACATGGCTGCCTCCGGCGCCGGGAGGCGCCGTGAAAATCAGCTACGTGAGCTGATTCTCAACCCCCCCGTTGCTATCCCCCCCTTTCGCCCGACCCGGGGTTGGGCGCAGTGGGCGCGACTCCTCGGCTCCCGCGGGTCTGCGGCACGGGCTGCCTGCTTGCCACAGCGATTTGCCCAGGCGGCCCCGAGGGCGCGGAGTTCTTGGGCCCCGCGCGGGGCTGCGGCTGTCACGGCCGCCACCGCGTGGCCGCCCTCCTCGAGTGGCCCCCCCGGGTCACTTTCTTCACTGCCTTCGTGGCCTCGCTCTGGCTATCCCCGCCCTGATTGCCGCGATCTCCCCTGCGCATGCTAGGGGAACAAAAAGTGGCATAAACACAAAGACTCGGAGGTCCGCGCGGATTTCTCGGATCGGCGCTGTGTCCCCCCGGCGGCGCCTCCGGCGTCGCCCCTGGCGCGCTCCGCGCGCCAGGGAGGGGAGTCCAGCGCCGATCCGAGAAATCCGCGCAGACCTCCGAGTTTTTATGTTCATGCCACTTTTTGTTCCCCTGGCATGGGCGCGACGGGCTTGACGGAGAGCTGACCGTGTGCTGGTCCAGTGCTGGGACGAGAACAAACAGTGCTCTGTTCTTGTCTACTGCACGTGCTGATGATTCCTGCTCGGGTTCGTGGATCTCGGAATCGCTCCGTTGATTCGTTTCCAGTTGGGAACACTTGTCTTTCGAAGAACTTCAGCACACTCCCATCACTGATTTGCTACTTCTCCTTGGGCTCGTTGGGTTTCGACGTGCCCGCTGCCGCATGCTGATGTACTGTGGGCCCGTCCTGAGTTACTCGCAAAGTATTTCAGAGCGTGAATTACCTACCCCGCTTTCGCTTCCAGGCAAAACCAAGTCATACCATACGCCTCCTCGTCAAGCGGCCTGACCAGTTCATGCCGTGGTTTGGCATCGCTTGGTATCTCTTGGAGGCGAGGGTGGTCAAAAGCGAGGTAGGTTTGTTTGCCCCCTGATATTGGCCGAAGTTGTAGCGAGCGTTGTCTGTGACATGCTCCGACATTGACTGCGAGGACTACGAACGAAGGCATGTGTTGGGATTGCGGTCACCCCACCCCTCTCTCCTCCACCTCCCCCAACCACATCTTCTTCGAAGCACTCTCGAGACCATCCAGGCTGAGGAGCGTCTCGCAGCAGAGTATGGTGACAAGAGTGAGCGTCAGCAGCAGGCCTCTTCTATATTTCGGCCGCCAGCGCCCAGTGTTTTTGCCACTTACGCGACGACATTGTGTCTCAAGGAAAACGCCAGGAGTTGTTCAAGATGTCAGGGGTTGACTTCATTGGCTCGTACACGCGAGTGGCTGAGCTCACTTTGTTTTTTTCCCGAATTCATCTGGACGGGCTCGTTTGTTGGCCTCCCCCAGGGCAGCGGGTGCACGTCTCTGGGGGTGGGGCACGTCCTACAATACCATTCGGGGCTTGGACTCTGGTTCTGCAAAGTTCGTGGTCGTTTTGCTTCTCGGCAGTTTAAGCAGCTTGGGGATGTGTGTTCAGAGGTTGTCACAGCTAGTTAATCGGAAGGATGACCTCGAGAGAGTATCCCGAGGTTTGCGGCCCGAAGTTCGCAGTAAAGTCGAGCTGGCCATCTGCAAGTATCGGGGTATTGAAGCCGCTTCAGTCTGTAACCGACACTGTCGCTACACCCGGACTCCCTTTCCTCTTCTCTCCTCCCCATCGTCCCTGTTCAAAGGAAAGAGCGGCCGCAGCGCCGGGAGGAGGGGGAGGGGGAGGCGCAGGAGGAGGAGGAGCAGGAGGAGAAGCAGGAAGTGGATGACGTATGACCAGGACGAGGGCGAAGAGGATCAGCAGGGTAGCGCCCCGAGCAGGTGCACGTCCCCGCTCTCGCGCTCATCGCCGTGTACTTCGTGAACCTCTCCAGGGGGCTGGCTGCCATCCTCCGGCGCCGCCCCCTCCGGCCTGGTGCGCGTTGAAGGGGGAGGGCGAGCAGCAGCACGAGGGCGAGGCGGAGGGAGGGTCTCGTGGCTTGGCGTTGCTCGGCCATGCGCATTTTTTCTCGACAGGGGCCATCGGGGAGCCTTTTCGGGTCATCGTGCGAAGAACTACGCGCACGAAGCCGAAACATGCGAGGGAAATGGGCGTCCGAGCGCTGGCGAGGCGAGGGATGCGGGGTTAATCAGGAGGAGAAAAAACACACAGACACAATGATTCGTCGAATCCCAGAAAATATGCGAAAATATGGGAAGTGGGGGGGAAGACAGAAACCCAGAAAATATTGGAAAATATAGGGAATATGTTTTATTTGTGTGTATTTATTTGTGTGTCCTAATTTCCCTTTATTAAGGTGGGGGGTGGCTGGCAGCCCGCCTTTCCTCGCGCTCGGGGCCCTGAGGAGCGAGGAAGGGGCCCAGAGCCACTCCTCTTCGGGAATGCTGGGGTGCCCTGGGGGGACCTTGGGGTGGGGGGGGCGGGGCGGGGGACAGCGCCGCGCGGGGGGTGGAGGAAGGGCACGGAGGGGGACGAGGATGCCGAGGCGGAGGAGGTGGATGGGGGGGGGGGGAACAGAGGATGAGGGAGGGGTAGGAGGAGGGGGAGTTCGGTGACTGGGCAGGAGGGGGAGGCCTGTGCCGCGAACGAACCAGCGCGCGCCTCGACGGCGCATCGGCACAGCGCGCCTCGAGAGGAGGAGCGCACGCGCACAAAAGGGGAGTGCTGCCGCAGCGCCTCGGCTACAGTGGAGGCCCATGCCAAGAAACACCCTGCGAGCCTCCAGGGTGCCCTGGATTTCGTCGGTTGCGCTGGTTCCGCCACGGAGAGCGCGACGTTCCCACGCCAAAAATAATCCATAGACGTCCTGGGGTCTCAGGGTTGGGTGTCTTGTGAAAGGTTTCTTGTGGAAGGGCCCCTGCTGTATTCCCTGCGGGCCGCTTTGGTCCAGCGTGGTCCGCGGGAGAACTTCGCAGCTGCCATGGATGAAGGGGTTCTCCGAAGGGCTGACCCGTCCTCTTGCTCCAACTTCTCCTCCTCCTCCTCCTCCTCCTCCTCCTCCTCCTCCTCCTCCTCCTCCTCCTCCTCCTCCCCCCCTCCCCCTTCCCCTCCTCCTTCTCCCCATCCCCCTCCTCCTCCTCCTCCTTCCCAACCTCCTCCTCCTCCTCCTCCTCCTCCTCCTCCTCCTCCGCCTCCGCCTCCACTCCTCTCCTCCCCCCCCTCCCCTCCAATTCCTCCTCCTCCCCTCCTCCTTCTCTCCCTCCTCCTCTCCTCCTTCTCCTCCTCCTCCTCCTCCTCCTCCTCCTCCTCCTCCCCCTCCTCCTCCTCCTCCTCCTCCTACGGCCCTGGGGGAGACTGTGCAGCCGCGGACGCTCCGTGGAAGTGGAGGGCCAGGAGACCGCGCGATCGCCGCCGAGCCCCCCCCGGGGCCGCCCGCCCTCCTGGTCCTTCGCGGGGCGGCCGGCTGCCCACCGGGCAGGAGGGGGGGTTCTCCGCACCAGGAGGGCTCGGGCCCCTCCAGCACGGCCCCCCTCCCTGGCCACGCCCGGTGTACTCTGCGAGGCACCGCCGCCCAGATTGGGTTGGGAGGAGGGAGGAGGAGGATGGGCAGGACGGGGAGAAGGTGAATGACGAGACGGGGGACGATGGACGATAGGAGAGGAGGAAGACGGGAGAAGGACGGTGACACATATGGAGGACGGTCAGGTGGCGAGAGGAGGAGGAGGAGGATAGGGAAGAGATGGGATGACGGAGGAGAAGGAGGAGGAGGAGGAGGAGGAGAAGGAGTAGGAAAACATGGTGGTGATGGTGGTGGATGAACGACGATGGCGAAGAGGACGCAGGAGGGATGATGAGGAGGTGGGAGGGAGGAAAGGGAGTGATGATTGATGCAGAGAGGGTGGGAGGTGGTGTAATGTGGGAGGGAGGACTAGGAGGTGTGGACGGGGAGGGGGGTACATGATGTGGAGGAAGAGGGACAAGTGATACATACTATAGGCAGAGGGGGGGAGAAAGAGGGATCTATATATATATATATATATATATAGAGAGAGAGAGAGGTCAGTCAGTCAGCCAGTCACAGATAGATACATACATACATATAGACAGTCAGTCTATCCGTATAGATACATACAGACCTACATATATATATATATATGTACATATAGACAGTCCGTCAGTCAGTCACAGAGAGACTGGGAGCGAAATGGGGAGAGAGGGAGGGAGGGAGGGAGGGAGGGAGGGAGGAAGAGAGAGGTAGAGATAGAAAACGAATGGTAACGACACTGTGTAGGAGGGAGAGGGGAGGTGGACATGCGTGGCGATGAGCAAGTTGTGGATTGGCAAGATGAGGGTGAAGGCGGCGGATGAAGAGAAGGGTGAGGATCTCCAATGCAATATCGAGCAGGAACATTACGAATGAGGTGCAGACGCAGGAGGAGTGCGAGGAGGAGGAGGAGGAGAAGGAGGAGGAGGAGGAGGACGAGGAGGGATGATGAGGATGAGGATAAGGATAAGGATAAGGATAAGGATAAGGATGAGGATGATGATGAGGAGGATGAGGATGAGGATGAGGATGAGGATGATGATGCTGATCATGGTGATGATGATGATGCTGATGATGCTAATTATGCTAATGCTCATGCTGCTGCTGCTGCTGCTGATGATGATGATGATGATGATGATGATGATGATGATGATGATGATGATGATGATAAGCATGAGGGAAGGCGTTGATGGCGCAGGATGAGACAGAGTGAACCGCAAGGGTGGGAGCGGTGGAGGGGGCAGGAGGAAAACGCCGAGGAGGATGAGGGAGTATGAGGGGTAGAGGCAGAGGACGTATGATGCAGGATGAAAATGTGGTGGAGGGAGGGAGAAGGGGAGGAGGAGGAGGATGGATGATGGAGGAGGATGGAGGGAGAAGGGGTCAGTGAGTGGGCAGGAGCAGGGGAGGGAGCAGGACCAGCGCGTCATCCAGTGAGGTCAAGCTTGCGTCTTGCATGGGACCTGTCTGTGATATAGCGCCCCTCCCCCTCACTGCTTGAAATAGGAGCGTCAGCTCCGCTGAGGCCCCGTTGTGTTGCCGAGTTTGACTCCATGCTGGCAGGAATGCATGCAGCGGTAGCTTGGGGTACTTTGTGCCACTGTGTTATGGGTGAAAAACATCACGCAGCTCAGCAGTGTGAGACATCATGCTGCCGATAAGATGCGTGTCACGCCTTGTCTGCCTCTACTTCAACGAGGGAGCCGAGGATCCCCTTCGAAAGGATCTCGGCGCGTCCTGTCGGGCACGCGTGCCCAATTCTGTTTAGATTGGGGTGGCTTGAAGAACTTGGGCAGCGTCGGCAGAGGTAGCCGCTCGTTGCCCCTTGGCAATGGCACCACACCTGCAACGAGTAACGATGAGGGAGCCCTCACCAGGACTATGTAATATTTGTGCCCTTGGGGGTCCTTAGCGATTGCACTGATCACTACGCTGGGTTCATGGCAGTCGGTCTGCTCAGGCAGGGCCTGGTGCGTGCACCTGACTTAGCGGGTGCGGCACGTCCAGACAGTGCAGCACCACTTCCAACGGGGCCGCGGTGCATGCCATGGGACGGGCTGCCGTTGAGCCTGGATGTGAGCGAATGTTCGCCTTGGAGGATACCTCCTTCGGTAGTCCAAGCCGCGACAAGAGTGGGCGGGCGGTGTTGGTGAAGCCGCTGTCAACTTTTTCACCCTTTCCCTGCCCAGGATGCGCAGCACCCGACGCCAGCTGCAAGGCGGACGACCACCGACCAACAGTTGCAGCGCAAGCTGCACCCCCCTGGAGGAGGAGGAGGAGGAGGAGGAGGAGGAGGAGGAGTAGGACGAGGAGGAGGAGAAGGAGGAGGAGGAGGAGGGAGGAGGAGGGAGGAGGAGGAGGGGATTAGGAAGAGGAGTTGGATGGGGAGGAGGAGGAGTCAGAGGAGGAGGAGAATGAGGAATGGGAGTGGAGCGGGGAGGCGGGAAGGCGCGAAGGAGGGAGGAAAGGAGGAGAATGAGGGGAACGGCAGGGGGGAGAGGAGGAGTCTGAGGAGGAAGCGGAACTGGGAGGAGGGAGCAGGGGGAGGGGCATGAGGCGGGGTGGAGATGGGGTGCCCCCAGTACTCTGGACACCTGCCAGGGGCACGACACCCCTCGCAGCGCAGGTCCCTGCAGCACGGACCACTCGCCGACCACCACCACCTCCGGCGCGCGTGCCAAGAGGGCAGGCGGCGAGACCGCCCATGCCCACGGGTGGCCCGGCGGATACGTCTGGGCGAGGTACATGCTCTACGTGTTCCCGTTCGAGGTGATCATGCCGTCGCTGACCTCGCAGAACGCGGAGAGCATTCAAAGAAGAACAAAAACACCTCAAACATAAACCGTTGGCGCTTCGCGCGGAACTCTTGGATCAGCGCTGGGCCCCCCCGCGGCGCCTCCGGCGCCGCCACTGGCGCGCTCTATGCGCCAGGGAGGGGGGTCCAGCGCAGATCCAAGAAATCCGCGCGGAGCGCCAACAGATTATGTTTATGGCGTTCTCTATTCTTCTAAGCATGGAGTGGAGGATATATTGGTCCATGTTCGTGCTCCTGCTGGTGCACCACGTGTATACGTACCTGCGCCTGTTGGCCTACGTGCCGAAGTTCTTGAAGTCCCCCGCTGGTGCAGGCGACCGCTCAATCTGTCTGAAGCTGCTGGCCCTAACCAGGAAGGAGAGTGTGAGGAGGTGCCGTCGGAGGTCCCATCATGGTGCGGCGGCAGCACCGTCGGGTGAGCCAGTGGGGATTCAGGGGGGGGAGCACGGTATTGGGACCGAGTCGTTCTCCAGGGATGTCCAGGGCGACTTGGGCCTCCAAGGTCCTGGAAACCGTGCGGTGACAGGCCAACGCAGAGGGGACCCCTTGGTGGTGTACCGCTTCCCCCCGGCGCATGGGCGGACGTGGGGCTGGACGGGCGTCGAGGTGTCCGGTCGCTCCAGCGCGGAGTGCGGGCGGAGGGGGAGAGCGCGGTGGGGCGTGGGCGGGTGGGGTCCTCGGGGGCGCAGTGTCCAGGTCTCGGGCGATCTGATTGCCTCAATCCTGGCGGTGCTTCCCGAGTTCGGCCTTGGGGCCCGGAAGCGGGCTCCGGGGTAGTCAGAGCTGGATCTGCAGTCGGAGTGGATGGGAGAGGACACGCGAGAGGACACGAGACCCTTCCGAGGGCCACGCTGCCACGGGAATGTAGGCAGGCGTGGGTCGCGAAGGTCGGGGCACAGGGGCACCCTCGATTCGGCAGGCTCGACCTACGAATTCTTCTCGACTGCACCCTCGGGGCTAGGGGGTCGGGACCTCCCCCGGGGGGAGCAGGAGGAGGAGGAGGAGGAGGAGGAGGAGGAGGAGGAGGAGGAGGAGGAGGAGGAGGAGGAGAGGAGGAGGAGGGAGGAGGAGGAGGGAGGAGGGAGGAGGGAGGAGGAGGAGGAGGAGGAGGAGGACGAGGACTTGGACGAGGAGGAGGAGGAGCAGGAGCAGGAGCAGGAGCAGGAGCAGGAGCAGGAGCAGGAGGAGGAGGAGGAGGAGGAGGAGGAGGAGGAGGAGGAGGAGGAGGAGGAGGGGAGGGGCTCGGGACCTCCCCGGCGCCGCGCAGTGGAAGCGTCGCACCGCCGGGCGTCCGAGCGGCGGTTACCGCCGGGGGAGGGGCACGCGGGCAGCCCCACGGGGAGGCGGCCCCGGCCGCCCCCCATGCGGCCCCCGGCAGGCGCCGCGGGGGGGGCGGCTCGGAGAGCGGCGCGGCTGCTCCCTACTGGCCTTACAGGGGGGATTTTCGACGGTTTTTGTTTTTGAAATATACCCCAAAAATAGTCCAAACATAGTCTTGGTTGTTCTAACCTTTGTGGTGCATTTGTGGGGCGTTTTGATTTTTTGTTCGTCGGACATCCCCCTGTAGGGGGGCACGCCGGACAGAATGCTGGCCTCGGAGGTATTGGCAGACCTCCTGCCCAAGCAGTGGCGGAGCGTCCTGGCTCGCCTGTAGGCCCACCAAGCAATATTCTGAGAACCTTCTGTTGTGGTTTGCACGAGATGTCCTTAGAGCAGTTCTGGCGGAGGCCGTCTTGTTTTGACACATCGGGCTCACGTTCTCAGAGCATCGCTGTTGCTCTTAGAACTTGTTGGGGCTCTGAGAACATTTCGTAGTAGGACTATAGGAATGCCGGGACGGTCGGTCCCTGCTCAAGCTACCCTGAGACGTCGATCAGCGGATTGGCCGTTTTCGGCGTCTCGAGAGGGCGTCGCGGCGTCGCAGCCGTCACTTTTGCGGGTCCAGGTCCGTCGGTTTCGGTCTTGGGCCGTGTTCATCGCGCGGTGGTTTACTACAGGGAGGTTTGTCCACCGCCGAGAACCCTCCAGCCCCCCACCCCCTCAGGGCTCATTTCGATTCCTCCGATTCGATTCGATCCGTTTTCGGTGGCTTCCGCGTCCGATTCGATTCGACTTGGGAGTCCGATTCGGGCTCTGGTTTTTTACTGGAGGCTGGAGGCATATTAGCCTGCCGATTTCCGCCGATTGGAGTTTTCCCGGCTCGGCTGCCGATTTCTGCCGATCCGATCCGTTTCGATTGCCGATCCGACTTGTCGATTCGACTCTGGGGGCGCCTACCCCCCACGTCAGCCCTCCGAGAGCGCCCCGATTCCCCCCCCCGCCTCCAAGGACCCCGGGGGGCCTTCAGGACGCCCCAGGCGCCCTTGCCCTGGGGATTTTGGGCTGCCCTGCTGCGCTCGGGGATTGGCGGCGGCGGACAGCTGTGGATTTTCGGAGGAGCTGGGCACTGATAGGCCCTCCAGATGGGGTCGGGGCAGAGGGGGGTCGGAGGATCGCTCCGCTTCGCCGATACATCCGCGATGCGGCTCGATATGTAGCCCGATTATCTCCATGCCGACGTCGCCGACGCATCGCCGACGTCGCCAATGCATCGTCGAGGCATCGTCGATGCATCGGTGATGCATCTGTGAGGCGGCGCGATCCTCTGACTCCATCTGCTCGGACCCCTATCTGGGAGGCCTCTGGCCTAGGGGAGGAGGCAGCGGCGGCAGCATCTCAGAGGAGGCACACATGCCGATACCTCTACCCCTCGGGGGGGGGGCCCGTGTTGTCACAGCGGTCGTCGCCTCGACGAATTGGTCCGAAGGCACCCCGAGAGATGTATCGGGGTCAGCGGCGTCGGACTGCTTCTGCCTATCCAGCATCAGCAGGAGCAGGAGGGGGAGATGGAGGCGGAAGGGCGGCGGGGTGGAGGGGGACGGGGTGGCAGGGGGGCGGAACGGAGGGAGATGAGTTGGGCAGGGGAGGCGGCGGAGCGCCGGGGGCAGGAGGAGGGGGAGACGGCGGCGAGCACCGGGGTCATGAGAATGAGCATGTCGAACAGCAAGTGGTGCGAGGAAGTGCCGAACAACAGGACGTGGAGCAGGAAGACCAGGGAGAGGGGTTGGGACAGAGAAAGGTGACCAGGAAGGTGAACAGGAAAATGAGGAGGAGGCCAACAAAGAAGAGGGAGAAGGGCAAGGAGACTGATAAGGCGGAGGTGGAAGATGAGGAGGAGAGCGAGGAGGAGGAGGAGGACGATGAGGACGAGGAGGTTGAGTCTGCAGCGGCGCTAGAAGAAGGCAAAGAAGAGATGCGCATATGATGGAGGCAAAAGATGATTGAAATGAGCGCACGGCAAAGACAATGCGATGAGCATATTGTGTGCGAACATGCCAGGGGGGATTCCAGCGCTCTTCCACTTCCCTTCGCGTCTGCTCCTCTCCTCCACATACTCCTTCCTCATTTAGCCGAAGGATTGCAAAAATAAAAACAGGATTGCAAAAAAAGGATTGCAAAACAAACCAGGGTTTTTTTTGCAAACCCCAGGGTTTTTTTGCAATCCTTCGTTCAACTTTCTCTGCTCTCTCTCTCTCTCTCTCCACATGTTCCAAATAGTGCTTGCACTTAGGGGTCTTTAATTATCTTCGAATGGGCTGCCCCTGAATGTCGGTCCGGCGGCTCCGTGCTCGCCGTCGCCGCCTCGTCGCGGCCCGTCGACTGGGCCTGATTGTCGGATTGGCGGCTCCGTGCTCGCCGTCGCCGCCCCGTCGCCGCCTCGTTGCTGCCTGTCGTCTGGGCCTGATTCTCGGTCTGGCGGCTATATTGTCGCCGTCGCCGCCGCGTCTCGGTTTTGTCTTACTTTGCAAGCTGTTTGCATTGTCTTGCATCGCTTCGCGTTGTTGCTTTGAATAGCTTGACGTTGCTGTGCGTTGCTTTGCGTTGCTTTGTGTTACTGTGCGTTGCTCCTCATCGCTTTGCATTGCTGCGTTGCTTTGCATTGCAGTGCGTTGCCTTGCTTCCATGTTGAACAGGAGCCGCTGTCGGAGTCGCATCCCACCAAACAGTGCTTGTAATTAGGGGTTCTTACTTCTGGTCTGAGGAACTAGGCCTGGGTGGCGGTTTGGCGGTTCCGTTCTCGCCGTCGCCGCGTCGTCGCCGCCCGTCGTCTGGGCCTGGGTGGAGGTCTGGCGGCTCCGTGCTCGCCGTCGCCTCCCCGTCGCCGCCTCGTCGCCTCCCATCGTCTGGGCCTGGGTGGCGGTTCGGCGGGCATGTACTCGCCGCCGCCGCCGCGTCGCCACCTCGTCGCCGCTTCGTCGCGTGCTTTGTGTTACCTTTCGTTGTCTTGCATTGTTTCGCGTTGTTGTCTTGCGCTGTTTTGCATGTGTTTGTGTTGTTGTGCGTTGTTTTGCATTGCATTGATTTGCATTGCTGCATTGTTTTGCATTTTTTTGCAATGCCCTGCTTCCATGTTGAACAGGAGCCGATGTCGGAGTCGCATCCCAAACAGTGTGCGTGTGTGCTGAGGGTGTTCCTTACCTTCGGTCTAAGGAACTGGGCCTGGGTGGTGGTTTGGCGAGTGCGTGCTCGCCGTTGCCGCGTTCTCGCCGCCCGTCGTCTGGGCCTGGGTGGCGGTCCGGCGGCTCCGTGTCCGCATGCATGTTCCGCAACACGGACTTCTGGGGTAAAGAGAACCCGCGCGCATTCTCACGAATTCTTAAGAAAACCTGTTAACCAACATGTTCATAACATGCTACCATACGGGCTGTTCACGCGCATGGCGAAATCGTTCGGACGCGTTTGCGCGCGTGTCGCCGTACGAAGCCTTTGCAAATAAAACAAAACACGAAGTGCACGCGCGCGCGTCGTCGCGCGCGCGTGCCGAAATCTTTCAAAAACCTGAGGTCTCGCAAGCAGTTCAAAGCCGAGTGTCCCGAAACCATATATAACTATAGTTTTGCAACATCAGGTTTCCAAAAAACCGCGCTCACGCTCCGGCGAATCCTGAAGAAAACCCTGGGTTTATCAACATGTTCATTGAGTTTTGCCAAGCGGGCAGAACTCAACGAATGCGCCGCATGCGGGAAACATTCGAACGCCCTTGCGCGCGTACTGGGGGGCAGGATCCGTGTCAAAAAATATCATGCGGCAAATCGCGCGTCGTCCGCGCACCGGCGCGAAGACGCCGTCATTGTCGTTGGCGTGATCAGCATCGGCGCCGTCCCTGGCCGTGCCGTCGTCGCTGTCAGCATCGTCACCAGCATTGCTCCTCTCTGCCATTGTCGACGTTGCGTTGCCATGATACCGCGCCCGCCCACGTCGCCGACCCGCACT